CGAAATTCAGCTCCAAGTCGCTGAAGGTGGGCCTGATCCCCGCCCCAAAACGGCTCTGCCTCATCCAGGAGCCCAAAGGTCAGTGGGAATAGAAAAAATTATATTTTATAGTAAAATAAATCAGGATTTGGGCAAAAATCCCCATTTTTTAGGTGTTGTCACTTTGAAGAATTGCATTTTTTTAATAAAAAATTCAGCTCCAAGCCCCTGAAAGTTGGGATGATCCCAGCCCCAAAAGGATCTGCCTCGTCCAGGAGCCCAAAGGTCAGTGGGAGTTGAAATATTTCACTTTTCTATTAAAATAGAAGAGGATTTGGGCAAAAATCCTGAGTTTTTAGGTATTTTGTCACTTAAAAATTCACATTTTTCCAATACAAAATTCAGTTCAAGTTGCTGTAATGATCCCCGCCCAAAAATGGGTCTGCCTCGTCCAGGAGCCCAAAGGTCAGTGGGAATTGAAATAATTATATTTTATAGTAAAATACAGCAAGATTTCGGCAAAAAAATCCCCATTTTTTAGGTATTTTGTCACTTAAAAATTCGCATTTTTCCAATACGAAATTCAGCTCCAAGTCCCTGAATGTTGGGATGATCCCAGCCCGAAAAGGATCTGAGGCCAAAGGTCAGTGGTCATCTAAATATTTCACTTTTGTATTAAAATAGAAGAGAATTTGGGCATAAATCTTGAGTTTTTAGGTGTTTTGTCACTTAAAAAATGGCATTTTATAACACAAAAGTGAACACAAAATTCACTTTAAATCTGCATTAAAGTGGCAAAGGATAGAAGAGCCCAAAGGTCAGTGGGGATCAAAATATTTCTATTTTATACTGAAATAAAAGAAGATTTGGGGGAAAAAAAAAATCTCAATTTTTGGGTGTTTTCATGCTGGTTGTTGCTTAAAATTTGCATTTTTTGGTACAAAAATGGACACAAAATTCACTTTAAATCTGCATTAAAGTGGCAAAGGAGGAGCCTGGTCAGTGGGCATCAAAATATTTCAATTTTATTCTGAAAGAAAAGAGCATTTGAGCAAAAATATTGACATTTTTTAGGTGATTTCTTGCTTAAGAAATTGCATTGTTTTCCTACAAAAATGGACACAAAATTCACTTTAAAGTGGCAAAGGAGAAGCTGAAGAGAAAATCCCAAAGGTCAGTGGGCATGGAGATATTTCAGAGGAGAATTTGGGCAAAAATCATGATTTTTTAGGTGTTTTATCACTTAAAAATTGGATTTTTTATACAAAAACGAACCCAAAATTCACTTTAAAAGGAGAAGCTGAACCAATGGGCCAACAGCAAAATTTGTATCAAGCATCTTCCCATATTCTCTGAGCATATATTTATATTAAATTGATGCTAGATTGAAAATTTTTAATTAATTCTTATCTTTTTCTTACTGCTAGTTTTTATTTTTATGATTTCATTTTTATTTCTAATTCCTCTTCTTGCTTCTGTTTTAGGTCCAGGCTTGAAATGCGATTTTTGCGGAGGATTTTTTAGCCGTGCTTTGGAGTTTTTGACCGAAAAAAAACTCCGATTTTGAATTGGAATTTCCAGCTGCAATTTAATTGGAATGAATAAATTAATTGGGATTCATGAATCAATTCCAATGAAATGGATTAAAATGAATTTAATTGGAATTTTCCAGCTGAGTTTTGGCTTTCTTTGCCTTGCAGTGCATGAACCTGTCAGGATTGCTTATGACAGACCCCGGGGCTGCCCCATCACAAAGAAGAAAAAGGTAAAAAAATTCACATTTCTGCCCCAAAATCCAGCCAGAAATGAGAAATGGTTTTGGGGGGAAAAAAAAAAATCTGTTTTTTGTCTGGAAAGAAGGAAATTAATTCTTAAACATTTATTTTAAAATGCCTTTTAAAGAAGGGAAAATCCTTTAAAAACTCCTTTAAAAAAACTCCATTAAAAAAAGGAAATTCCTTTAAAAAATTCATTGAGAAGAAGGAAATTCCTTTAAAAATGGCTTTAAAAGAAAGGAAATTCCTTTTAAAAAATTCCTTTAAAATAAAGGAAATCCTTTTTTTAAAAAAATTCCTTTAAGATAATAAAATTCCTTTTAAGAAATCCTTTTAAAATTCCTTTAAGAGAAGGAAATTTCTTTTAAAAAAATCCTTTAAAAATCCCATTTAAAAAAAGGAAAATTCCTTTAAAAATCCTTTAAAAATTCCTTTAAGACAAGGAAATTCCTTTTACAAAATTCCTTTAAAAATTCCTTTAAGAGAAGAAAATTCCTTTTAAAAAATCATATAAAATCCCATTTTAAAAAGGAAAATGCCTTTTAAAAAAAATCATATAAAATCCCATTTAAAAAAAGGAAAATTCCTTTTAAAAAAATCATATAAAATTCCATTTAAAAAAGGAAAATTCCTTTTAAAAAATTCTTTAAAAGTCCAATTTAAAAAAGGAAAATTCCTTTTAAAAAATCATATAAAATCCGATTTATAAAAGGAAAATTCATTTTAAAAAATCCTTTAAAAGTCCCATTTAAAAAAGGAAAATTCCTTTTAAAAAATCCCATTTAAAAAAGGAAAAATCCTTTTTAAAAAATCATATAAAATCCCATTTTAAAAAAGGAAAAATCCTTTTAAAAAAATCATATAAAATCCCATTTTAAAAAGGAAAATTCCTTTAAAAAAATTCTTTAAAAGTCCAATTTAAAAAAGGAAAATTCCTTTTAAAAAATCATATAAAATCCCATTTTAAAAAGGAAAATTCCTTTTAAAAAACCCTTTAAGAGTCCCATTTAAAAAGGAAAATTCCTTTTAAAAAATCCCATTTAAAAAAGGAAAATTCCTTTAAAAAAATCATATAAAATCCCATTTAAAAAAGGAAAATTCCGTTTAAAAAATTATTTAAAAGTCGATTTAAAAAAGGAAAATTCCTTTTAAAAAATCATATAAAATCCCATTTTAAAAAGGAAAATTCCTTTTAAAAAACCCTTTAAGAGTCCCATTTAAAAAGGAAAATTCCTTTTAAAAAATCCCATTTAAAAAAGGAAAATTCCTTTTAAAAAAATCATATAAAATCCCATTTTAAAAAGGAAAATTCCTTTTAAAAAACCCTTTAAAAGTCCCATTTAAAAAAGGAAAATTCCTTTAAAAAAACCCTTTAAAAACTCATTTAAATGAAGGAAATTCCTTGGAGAAAAGGGAATTTCCATTAAAAAAATTCACTTTACCCCCGTGTGGATGGGAGTTCCAGCCCTGTGCCCCCCCCCCGCTCGCAGCCCGATGAATTGCCGGGTTTTTCCGGGTTTTTCCCGGTTTTCCCCGGTTTTCCCCGGTTTTCCCCGGTTTCCCCGGTTTTCCCCGGTTTCCCCGGTTTCCCGGGTTTCCCCGGTTTTCCCTGGTTTCCCCATTTTCCCCGGTTTTCCCCGGTTTTCCCATTTTCCCCGTTTTTCCCGGTTTTCCCATTTTCCCCGTTTTTCCCGGTTTTCCCATTTTCCCCGGTTTTCCCCGGTTTTCCCGGTTTTTCCCATTTTCCCCGGTTTTTCCCCGGTTTTTCCCCGGTTTCCCCGGTTTTCCCATTTTCCCCGGTTTTCCCTGGTTTTTTCCCGGTTTCCCCATTTTCCCCGGTTTTCCCATTTTCCCCATTTTCCCCGGTTTCCCCGGTTTTTCCCGGGTTTTGCCCGGTTTCCCCTGGTTTTCCCTGGTTTTTCCCCGGTTTTCCCCAGTTTTTTCCCAGTTTTCCCGGTTTTTTTCCCCGGTTTTCCCGGTTTTCCCCGGTTTTCCCCAGTTTTTCCCCGGTTTCCCCGGTTGTTTTTCCTGGTTTCCCCGGTTTCCCCGGTTGTTTTTCCCGGTTTTCCCATTTTCCCCGGTTTCCCCGGTTTTCCCTGGTTTTTCCCGGTTTCCCCGGTTTTCCCATTTTTCCCGGTTTTCCCGGTTGTTTTTCCCGGTTTCCCTGGTTGTTTTCCCCGGTTTCCCCGGTTGTTTTTCCCGGTTTTCCCCAGTTTTTCCCGGTTGTTTTTCCCTGGTTTCCCTGGTTGTTTTTCCCGGTTTTCCCGGTTGTTTTCCCCGGTTTTCCCCAGTTTTTCCCCGGTTTCCCCGGTTGTTTTCCCCTGTTTTCCCCGGTTGTTTTTCCCGGTTTCCCCGGTTGTTTTTCCCGGTTTTCCCATTTTCCCCAGTTTTTCCCGGTTGTTTTCCCCTGTTTTCCCCGGTTGTTTTTCCCGGTTTTCCCCAGTTTTTCCCCGGTTTTCCCGGTTGTTTTTCCCGGTTTCCCCGGTTGTTTTTCCCGGTTTTCCCCAGTTTTTCCCGGTTGTTTTTCCCGGTTGTTTTTCCCGGTTTCCCCGGTTGTTTTTCCCTGGTTTCCCCGGTTGTTTTTCCCGGTTTCCCTGGTTTCCCCGGTTTTCCCCGGTTTCCCGGTTGTTTTTCCCGGTTTTCCCATTTTCCCCGGTTTCCCCGGTTGTTTTCCCCGGTTTCCCCAGTTTTTCCCGGTTGTTTTCCCGGTTTTCCCGGTCTCCCGTCCCCAGAAGCCCACGGAGCCGGAGGTGCCCCCCAAGAGGCTGAGCCCGCGGAACGTGGGGTTCCAGATGCTGCAGAGGATGGGCTGGCAGGAGGGGCACGGCCTGGGCACGCGCGGGCGCGGCATCCGCGAGCCCGTCCACCTGTAAGGGGAAATGGGGAAAATATGGGGGGGAAATGGGGGGTTTAATGGGGAAAATAGGGGGATTCATGGGGGAAATATGGGGGTTTATATGGGGGAAATATGGGGGGTTTAATGGGGAAAATATGGGGGTTTGTATGGGAAAATATGGGGGTTTAATGGGGAAAATATGGGGGTTTATGGTGGAAAATATGGGGGTTTAATGTGGAAAATAGGGGGATTTATAGAGGACAATGTGGGGTTTAATGTGGGAAAATATGGGGGTTTATGGGG